AATAATAATAATAATAATAATAATAATAATAATAATAATAATAATAATAATAATAATAATAATAATAATAATAATAATAATAATAATAATAATAATAATAATAATAATAATAATAATAATAATAATAATAATAATAATAATAATAATAATAATAATAATAATAATAATAATAATAATAATAATAATAATAATAATAATAATAATAATAATAATAATAATAATAATAATAATAATAATAATAATAATAATAATAATAATAATAATAATAATAATAATAATAATTCAATATGGGCAATTTGGGAAATGTATAAAAGAATTAAGGGCAAAAAGGTAATATACTTGGTCAACATAAAAGGGCTTTTAAGTTAAAAAAAAAGAAGCTCCCCTCCCCTAGCTTTTAGCTTTTGGCTTAAAATAAGTCATTTCTGACTTAAAATAAGTCACTTTGATAATTGCCAAACACTTTAATAAGTCAAAAACTGGCTTTTAAGCCAGTTTGACCAGCTTAAAAGCCCATCCAAACAGGCTCTAAATCCCTTTTATGGTTTAAATCAACTTGCCCAAAAGAATACTGATTTCTGAACTTGGGCTTGGCTTGGGGTTAAATCTTCTACTTCTTCATTGATGTAATACAACTTTCTTGTCTAGTCCACTGCCAACCTATTCTTCTTCATCTCCTTGCTATCTAGTGTGTACATTGATACCTGGACCACACTACTTATAAATAGCTGCAAATGGTACCAAAAAGATATGGCAAGTGCTTTGATCCTTATGTCTCCAGTTCAAGATGGATCCAACGTATGCTTCACGGTTGCAATCCCAATGTTGGGGTATTAAGAAGGATCACTTCTTGAGCTGATAATCAAAGAAAATGGAAGAAAATTTAACCATCTCATTGTCACCACATATTCGGATAGAACAAAGACCCATCATCTCTCTACCTTCTCCTCTCCGTATTTTGGCTTCTAGTACTGACACTGGTTGTTGGCCTCCACATGCATCAGAAACGGGACTAAAGTTTTATATTTCTAATTGAGCATTGCATGTGGTGCAAGTCCTGTCGTCAGAGTTCCGGAAGATCTTTATACCAAATGTCACATTATTAGATGCATCTTTTCCAATCTCTATTCTCTCATTTGTTGGCCCTACTTGTTATATCATATTTGTCCCGGTTTCAGAGTTCTATTCTTATTTACCCTTTTGCTAGTACTTATAAATATTTCATGTTGCAGGTAGCACAAGAAATTGAGTCGGAAGCAAAGTATCAGAATGATTTTATTAACCAACTGGTATGTCATGAACTTGTTATCCCTTTCCCCGCATGTTTGACATCCTTTGAGACCATTTTTGTCTCTTTTCTGTATATTTCATGTGCCTTAACAATTAAATTTGTATATTTGAGCTTTATTGGTATTTATTTTCCTATTAATGGATAACAATCTAACATGCGCCAATAAGTTGGGAGATATGGGAAATTGAATTATATTAATGGGTAAAAGTTTCCAATTGCTAACCTTTATTTACAGCTCTCACGACCCTCTCTGTCTTTTATCCTCTCTTCCTCTATAATCTGGAAATTGCAATTGTTATTACTATAAATCTTTTAGAAATGACAGTGTACTTGTAACCTTCCTTTGCCTTTTCGTAGGTATTACCATGCAAGTCTGCCTGAATGCCTTCGTTTCTCTGTCCTTTCTCATGTTCTTTGAAGATATATCTCCTTGTTAGATCTCCATCAACTGACTATGATAAGCCCAAACTTGATTGCATTTTTCCTTTGTTCTTGAGGGGGTAATGTGTGCAGAGATATTGGACAATAAACATTAATGCTAAATCTGAATGATGTATTTCTAAGAGCTATCCGTTCTAGTATAACTGAATTAAAGAAGCAACTTTAGATTGCTTCAAGCCGTTAGAACTTAGAACTACTAAACTTCCTAGAGCTAACTTGACACTGTTTTATAAACGTGTTGATTGGTCAGTCTGTCTGGGTTATTCACGATGTATGCTTATTTTATTGTATTATGGAATCATTTTCTTTTAAGTTACATGACTTCTCCATTTCCTTAAATACTCACGCTTTCCCCTTTATCACAGCAAATGACGTTGATCAAAGCTCAAGCAGGAGTAAAGAACAACATGAGAAGGTTGAACAGGAGTATCATCCGGGAAGGATCAAACCATGTGATGCATGTGGTTCTTTTTGCACTATTTTGCTTCTTTGTGATATATTGGTTGGCCAAGTTTTCACGGAGATAAGGGCAACCCTATCTTTCTATGCTTGTTTGCATCCTGGCAAAGTTCTGATGAAGACACAATCTATTCAAACCATCAAACAAATGCTAAGCACTGACAGATCAGTGATTGGGGAGAGTAAGGGTGCAGGCGCAGCTTTAGAAACTCCGAATATTAGTCTTATGTAAAGTTTCCTAATCTGTGGAAGCACCCGTGGGACAAAAAATCCTAGTGAAGAAAAAAGATCATATCTTGTAATATACATTGTTTGATACCTTGTTAAAATCTCGATAGATGAACTCAGTGAGACAAAATCTCTCTAAGAGAAATTTTACTTCTATGATAAAAACATCATTTGATATTCCATAGATGACACATTTGGATATTGTATATTTCTCAAATGTTGTGGTTGACAATGGCTTCTTAGTTAATAAATCTGCTAAGTTGTTATTTGAATTTCTTCTATATCTTTCACCAGTCTTTTAAAGATCATACATTGAAATGTGTTTCCTTTTATTCCATCTTCAACAAATCAATTAATATAAATGATGTGTTCTAATCTTATATACCAGTTGTTCAAATGTTGATATTGAAAATGACCAAAACACATTCATGAAGATATTGAATTCTTCAGCTCATACCCATATATGGTTTGTTTGCTTCATAATTATAGTATGGCATAATACATATATTGGACCTTAAACTTGGCTTCAAATTTTAACTTTGACCTCCAACTTTCAAAGTGCACAAATAGACACTTTAACTATCCAACCTTTTAATAAATAAACACGCGTGTCTTACCTGGCAAAACGCGCGATGTGCACGCATTTTGCGTGAGTGAGAAGTAATTTTTGAGGCACACAACAGTGAAAAAAATGCTGAAATGACAACTCTACCCTTAATTATTTTTATTTTTTTTAGTTCTAAAATGGACGTGTAAAGTGTTTAATTAGTTGGCAGCCATTGAGTGGCTCACTAATACACGTGGCAGCGTTTGCATTTCACGCTCTTGGCTCCAAAAATCGCGTGTTTATTTATTAAAAGATTGGATAGTTAAAGTGCTTGTTTGTGCACTATGAAAGTTGGAGGTCAAAGTTAAAATTTGAAGCCAAGTTTAAGGTCCAATATATGTATTATGCCATACTATAATTATGAAGCAAACAAACCATATATGGGTATGAGCTGAAGAATTCAATATCTTCATGAATGTGTTTTGGTCATTTTCAATATCAACATTTGAACAACTGGTATATAAGATTAGAACACATCATTTATAGTATTTGTCATCTTTGCATAAATTGCAATTAAGTGATTGCTTAGTAGAATAACACAAGTATAGCAACACTCCCATATGCAAACGAAATATTGTGTGCGATTGAGTGTTACGTAAATTGAATAGTTTTTCTAAATTTGTATAACGAAACAATTCTTTGACAATATTGATTAAAAACAATAAATTCATAATAATTATTTGGTTTCACTCTAGTATTTCTATAGTAAAGTAAAATTTATCTTGAATGCATATCAATAAAAAAAAATGTCATCTCACAGATAGTAATAGTATGATATATAAGTATACTAATGTCATTTTGAGCATAAAAAAAATCATCAAATCTTAAGCCTTGTCTCAGGGTGATCTATGCTTATTGTTATAGGGAGAGGATGCACAAATGCTCTTAATGAAAATATCAAATGCCTGAAATAATAGGGACATACAATATTTTTACCTGTATAAATATAGAGGTGGTGTCGCTTTAACAAGTATTCTTAAGATGTGCTCTTGTAAGTATTCATTAATTGAAATTAGCACATCACCTTTTAAGTACTTGAGCAAATTAGTATCTTAAATGATCGGATAATATTGTGCGTGTGATATTTTCGATTTAGACAAATTGTGATTCAGTAGTACCCAACAACTTGTCTAAACTTTAAAATATTTATACTACTAGAAAGTTTGAAAGTTTGAAATTTTGAAATACTTCTACTATGTGTGATATTACTTATTAGTAGTAGTATTACAAGCTAGTGTGGATTGTTATATAGTTTGAAACATTGGAGTACTTATTTATGAAATAAGTATTGTAGTTGAAATAACAATCGAGTATCATGGCTGAAATATTTTCGGTACTACCACTAACATCAAAATTGTTGAATGAGTATCATTACTAAAATAGTTAGAGTATTATCGTTAAATAACTAAAAATGTGTTTGTTCTACAAAGGAACAAAGCCTTTCCGACAAGTATCTATTTCAACCGCTTATGTTCTCTATAAATATGGATGTCAATAACTCGATGTCGATTACTTTTAACTCAACTGACAATATGTTTATTGTATTCCAATAGAGTCTTGTATGCTAACCTTATTGACAAACAAACACTTTTTTGAGATAATGATAATAATTAAAAAAAGATAATAGATTCACACGAATGATGAACACTCTAATCGAACTTAACCCACCATAATTATTAATTAATAGTAAAAGATTATAAGTTATGAGAGGATGAAAAAATTCTTTCTAATTGTAGGAAGAAAAAAAAAACCATTAAATTTCTTAAAAATAAAAAAAATGAAACCAATTTGAAAAGAACTAAATCAATAAATATGTACTCCCTTCCTCTCAAAATAATTTTCACAATTTTCTTTCTAAGAGTTAAAAAATAGATAATATAAACTTTGATCAATATTTTAAGATATATTTTTTTATTATATGGTAAAATTTATCAATGATTTTCGTATTATTTTTCATATCCAAAATTTAATTTTTAAAATACTAATTTAATTTAACTTTTGGAAAAAATAAAACCTCAAAACTATTTTGGAATGAAGAAGATTTTTGCCATATTAAATAATAATAAATATATTTTTGGACCAACAATACTTTAAAATGAAAATATTAACCATAGTCATTACATGAATATTTATTTTAATCCTTTCCCGGTTTCATTTTTATATAAATTACTAGATAATGTTGCCCGTGCTATGCACGGGCCCAATAATATAAATGGTATATTTTGGGGCTAATAACCGAGTTTTTGAAACGATTGTTTGCGTGGATAAAGGAATAAGTTTTTTTATCAGAAACCTGTACTTTCTTTGACGCTATTTAAGGCATAATAAGACTACCCACATACAATATTTTTGAAATATTTTATGTTGTCAATTATCATGATTTATAGTATTTTTACGATAGATTCACTTCAAGAATCAGTGGAATTTTTTGTATTTTTTTTCAAAACATATTTTATGTTGTCAATTATCATGATTTATAGTATTTTTACGATAGATTCACTTCAAGAATCAGTGGAATTTTTTGTATTTTTTTTCAAAACATATTTTATGTTGTCAATTATCATGATTTATAGTATTTTTACGATAGATTCACTTCAAGAATCAGTGGAATTTTTTGTATTTTTTTTCAAAACATATTTTATGTTGTCAATTATCATGATTTATAGTATTTTTACGATAGATTCACT